TTTCCATGTAAATGCTGGTAAGCACCAGGTAAGGAAAATAGGTATTCTTGAAAATTTCCAAGCTTTTCCTTGTACAATTTTAATGAAGCACTTTTATTTTGTTGGTAAAATATTTATATTTCTTATTGAAATTCAAGGATTACGTCTTATACAAAATTATTACACTGCAGTTTCAAGAACTAATGGAATGTTTCATTATGGTAATGTAATGAGCTAGTTGAATCTTTGTTGCCCAAATTAAAAATGTAAGAGGCTTGATGACTGGAAAAGATCTAGAAGAATCTTTCACATCATGCAAAATAAATACGATTTTTGTCAGTCTAGTATTCCACTAAAAAGAAGTTAATTTGAATAGAAAGAAATTAAATTTGGAGTACATTTTTGGATTTGATATTATAAATTCTTATATTTGGTAAGTGGTAGTTATGATGTAATAGCAGTTTACTTGAAAACTCTCCAGCATACCATTTAATTGCACATAATATGAAAACATGAGAAAAGAGACATATGAGTTCATTTGTCATAGAATTATTTGTGTAGTAGCAATAATTAAAATATAGTTTAGAGTTCATAAGTATGAAACAGAGCTGACAAGAAGGCTAAAAGTGCTATTAGGCATCTACAAAGCCTATGTGTTTTACTTATATAATTTAATTTCTTATAAAGTGTCTATATATGAGGGGCTTCAAAAAGTTAATGGGATGTACTCCTTAGAATCATCAACCATTAGAGATCTCAAAGACAGCATTTCCCTAAGGAATAAAGCACAGAAGGGTTAGGGGAGGACTGGGCACAGAAATACAGGGAGAGGCTTGGAGTAAGTGACGTTTCAGTGCAGAGATTATGAAATGCGTAAGGATTGCTTGCTGCATGAAAAACTAATCTGCACTGTAATTCTTCACCTAGTTCACATTTTTGGGGTGTATTAGTGGGAAAAAAACCATTATCTTTTCATTTAATTTCCCACACTCTTTGAAGATCCTTCATACTTTGAACGTAACACAAACTTGCCATGCTTGATGAATGGCTCCCTATGTGACCATGCATCAGTCCACAGAGGGGAAGCCAGGGGAGATGGCGGGATGTACTTGCACTGAGAGCTCCACAAAGCAGGGCACAGCCTGAATACATGTGTACTTAATGAAGAGTCAGAGCCAGGAAATCAGAAAACATCAGCACCTTGAGGTTAATTAATAAATTGACCCAAAGCTTTGGAAACCTTGCATGATAGAGATAGACACAGAATATAATACTGTGTAGCTGAACTACTTAACAATTGAGTACACATTTTACTTGTCACTTATACAACTCAAAGACGAAATGGAAACGTGTGATGGGGCAACTCATCTAAAACGTAGCTCAAGGACCCAACCTCCCACCAGCTGGTGGCTCTACCATCCCCCTGAGCCTTGGAATTCTCAGAGGATTTCTGTAGCTGGTCCACAGATGAGGAGACACCAGAGAGAGAACTTCGCAGGAGGTATTGTAGGGGTCCCTACATCTCCCGTAAATTCCACTTTATGGCCACATCTCATTTCAAGGAACACTGGGCAGTATAGTCTGCTTATGTGCCTGGGTCACAGCTTCCAACATTTATTGCAATTTGACCTCCTGAGACTTTACATTTCCACCCCAGATATGCTGAATCAGAACCTGTGTTGTTTTTTTTGTTTTAACATTTTATTAGGGGCTCATACAACTCTTATCACAATCCATACACACATCAATTGTGTAAAGCGCATTTGTACATCGTTTCTCAAAACATTTTCTCTCCATTTAAACCCCCGACATTAGGTCCTCATTTTTCCCCTCCCTCCCCCCTCCCGCATGAGCCCTTGATAGTTTATAAATGGGTATTTTGTCATATCTTGCCCTGTCCGACGTCTCCCTTCACCCACTTTTCGGTTGTCCATCCCCCAGGGAGGAGGTCACACACAGTTCCTTGTAATCGGTTCCCTCTTTCCTACCCACTCTCCCTCAACCCTCCCTGTTTCACCACTCACACCACTGGTCCTGTAGGGCTCATCCGCCCTGGATTCCCTGTATTTTCAGTTCCTATCTGTACCAGTGTACCTCCTCTGGTCTAGCCAGTCTTGCAAGATCGAATTCGAGTCATGGTAGTGGGAGCAGGGAGGAAACATTTAGGAACTAGAGGAAAGCTGTATTTTTCATCATTGTTACATCGCATCCTGACTGGCTCATCCCCTCCCCTAGACCCCTCTGCAAGGGGATCTCCAGTGGCCTACTAATGGGCTTTGGATCTCCACTCCACACTCCCCCCATCATTCACTATGGTAAGATTTTTTGTTCTGATGATGCCTTATACCTGATCCTTTGACACCTCGTGGTTGGATAGGCTGGTGTGCTTCTTCCATGTGGGCTTTGTTGCTTCTGAGCTTGATGGCCGCTTGATTACCTTCAAGCCTTTAAGACCCCAGACAGTATACTTTTTGATAGCCGGGCACCATCAGAACCAGTGTTTTAACGATTCCCCCCGGCGATTCTTTGTATACATAAGGGGGTTGAACAGAAAGAACAGGTTCAAAGCCTTGGCCTTGAAAGAAAAGGACATGGCTTGATAGGCAACTTGTTAAAGCTGCCATCAGATTACCCTAAGTCATTACAAAGTATTTGGCATTCTCTATATAAGAACAAACATCCCAAGTGGTGCATAGCTTCTTGTGATATTTCATTCTCCCTTTCCTGCGATTCAGACCTACATCACCAACTAAACTGAATAACCTTAAAACCTCATGCTGTACTAGCTGACATGCATTTTGCATTTGAACTTGTAAATTACTCTTGTGTTGAACTGGAAGAATGTGAAAACAGAGAGCACTCTCTTGTTTGCATCCACACAGAGCAGTAAACATCAGTTGGTAGTGCATGAGAGATAGGCAGCTTAAAGGGATAAAACCTAATTCTTACTGTTTGCAAGAAATTCTGTACACAGGAAACTATTAGTAATTCTTAAAGGATTTTTTTTTTCAGCAAAGGAGCTGTTAAAACCCTTCATAGTTTGAGTTACTATGCCAGGCACATTTTTAGAAGGCAGAACAGGTGAGCTTTGGACTAAACTAAAGCAAAAGCAGGTTTTATCTTTTAGAAAGAGAATCATGGTCTTCCCTACCTCTCTTCTAACACCTATCTCAGTAGGGACTCTGAGACCGGCCTGGGAAAGGAGAAGTGAATCAGATGGATGGAAGCATTTCTTTCCTGGAATCGAGAATAGCAGGAGTGAAGGGAAGGTGGGTGGGAAAGGGGGTTATAGAATCCAGGAAAATGAGTTTGGTGAGGTCTGTAAGTTCTAAGCTGATCACCCAAGGCAGAGGAGGGAAAGTCGCCTGAGGTTGAGAACTGCGTGTAACTGAATAGTCAACCCCTTCCTCAGAGCAGCTCATGACTGAACTACCAACCCTGTGATTAGCAGCCCCTGGTTTAATCCACAGCACTCTGTTTCATCTGGTGGAAAAAGAACCCAGCAATTATTTTATAAAATCTAGTTGTTGACGTAAACATATTGACGGGCACAGATCATCTGTCTTCACGTTGCCGATCCAAAGTTGTAGGTCCTGCATCTTTATATCGCTGTTGCCC